GAAGGAGAAGAGGAAGAGCAAGAAATTGAAAATTTATTTGAAAAAATAATTAAGGAGAACTTCCCCAATGTGGCAAAGGAAATAGGCTTCCAAGAAGTCCAGGAAGCTCAGAGAGTCCCAAAGAAGTTGGCCCCAAGGGAGCCCACACCAAGGCACATCATAATTACATTACCCCAGATTAAACATAAGGAAAGAATCTTAAAAGCAGCAAGAGAAAAGGAGACAGTTACCTACAAAGGAGTTCCCATAAGACTATCAGCTGATTTCTCAAAAGAAACCTTGTAGTCAAGAAGGGGCTGGAAGGAAGTATTTGAAGTCATGAAAAGCAAAGACCTACATCCAAGATGACTCTATCCAGCAGAGCTATCACTTAGAATAGAAGGGCAGATAAAGTACTTCCCAGATAAGGTCAAGTTAAAGGAGTTCATCATCACCAATCCCTTATTATATGAAATGTTAAAAGGATTTATCTAAGAAGAAAAAGATGTTCAAAATATGAACAATAGAATGACAACAAACTCACAACTACCAACAACTGAACCTAAAACAAAAACAAAAACAGATGAAGCAAACAGCTAGAACAGGAACAGAATCACAGAAATGGAGATCACCTGGAGGGTTATCAGCAGGGAGATGGAGTGGGGAGAATGAGGCACAAAGTACAGGGAATAAGAAGCATAGATGGTAGGTACAGAATAGACAGGGGGAGGTTAAGAACAGTGTGGGAAATGGAGAAGCCAGAGAACTTGTATGTACAACCCATGGACATGAACTAAGGTGGGGGGATGCTGGTGGGAGGGGGTGCAGGGCAGAGAGGAGTAAAGGGGAGAAAAAAATGGGACAGCTGTAATAGCACAACAAATAAAATGTATCTTTAAAAAAGAGTACCAGAACAATGACAGCAAAGCCTTAAACCAAGCTCTTTGGGGACCAGGCACCTACTACCCTCCCCCAGAGGCTGCAGACTGAGTGGGAGGGGCAGACATTGCTTCTCCAGAAGGAGGAGGCAGGGGTGGTAGATAAAATTTCAAATAAAGGATGAATAATTTTTAGCATAAATATGTCCCAAATATTGCACTTTCCCATTGGCCCAGCTGGGGTCACGTGACCATCATAGAACTAATCATAGAATCATGGGCCACACCACGTGGCTGTAGTCAAGGTACCCAAAAGTCAGAACTGACACTGAAGCTTTATGCTTTAAAAAAAAAATCTGATTTTCAAATTTAACTGGGTGTCCTTTATTTTTACTCTCTAAATTTGTTAACTCTGTGTGGAAGAAAGCAAGAGGTTGGGGTAGCGGTGGGGGTAGTGAGCAGGGGCCACAGCTCTGTCACCAGGAGAGGGCCAGAGTCTGGGGAGGGAGGGAGACTGGAGCAGGACCCCAGGAATGTGAGACTCTTGGGGACAGAAGTGGCTACTGCAGATTTTCAAGATGTTTCCCTGGGCACCGTGCCTATGATAGCCTCCCACTCGGTCCCCTGGAGAGGACTTCAGTAAAGTCCTGTAAAGTCCTTGTTGATGGCACTGGAGTCAGAGAGCGACACTCTAGGAGCCCTGATCCAAGGCGAACCGGCTGTGGCCTGGGAACACGCTAGACCTGGGTCCCTTTCGTGGGCAAGGATGGGGTGACAATATGTCGGTTTCTCTGTTTCTGGCAGGAGTGAAGGAAGGGCACCCGCGAATTCTCCAAATAGAACTCTGCTGTATCAGAAACAACTCCTTTCATCCGGTGACTTTGCTCAGTGAAAATAACCCTTGTGAGCAAGTGAGGCCTGACTTTCCTTAGGATTAGGAAGGCCTCTGAGCAAACCGTGCTCATGACGCCATCTGGTGGTGGAAAGGGACCCAGCACCCTCGTGGCGCTGACCACGCAAATACTTACGGCTTCTTTGCAGTTCATTCCTTCACCAAATGCTTCAGAGTGCCTGCTATGTGCCAGGCAGCTATATTGCAAATGGTAGTAATAAGAGCATAGTTTAGGATAAAACTAATTTCTTAGTTTAGTGCAAACAAAAACACACTGATAATGTAAGGCAATGAAAACGAGGTCTTTAAAATCTTTAAGCCATGAAATTTGCATAGAAACTACTTTTCCTATCTCATGTTGTCTTTTAGTACAAAGGATTGGTAAATCTTGGGCAGAGTCTTAACGGAGAGAGGAGAAGGAGGAGGAGGAGGGGAAGGAGGAGAAGAAGAGAAAGGGAGGAGGAGGAGGAGGAAAAGGAGGAGGAAGAGAAGTAGGAAGAGGAAGGAGGAGGAAGGAGAGATCTTTTTGTCCCTCTCTGACCTGTGAGGACCAGCCAGGGAGAGAGCTCACACCAGCAACTGAATTGCTCACCACCACCCTGACTTTGGACTCCTCAGCCTCCAGAACTGTGAGAAATGTGTCCGCTGGTTAAGCCACTCTGTCTACAGTGTGTTGTCATGACAGCCTGGGCTAAGACAGGGAGGGAGGGTAACGGTATGTCTGATGATGGCCGTGAACTTGTCTTGTCTTGAATATTCCCCCAGATGTTCCCAGAACTAGACTCAAAGTGGCAGTCCTGCCTAGGCATTCAAAATTTCAGCAGTCATCCCCCATGAGCTGGAAACCGCCCCCCCACCCCACCCAATCCCGATGCCATGCTGCAGAATTTGTCACAAAAACCCCATAGATTGACTCTTTTTCATCTGTTTTATTAGCATCAATATATACAAAGTGGAAAATGACTTAATTTCATTATTCTAGCTTAGAAAGTTGGTTTTGCTTTGTATTCTGTTTGGGGGCAAAGTGAAAATGAAAACATCCCAGGAGAAAGCCTGCCTTTGGGGGTGCTGAACCCCCATGACCCACCACCACCTCTCAGGGCACAGGAAGGTCACGCTCTTTGGACTTACCCCCCAGAAAGGTCATTTTTTTTTTTTTTTGCCCAAAGCTCATGCTCTGTCTAAATTTACCCATCTGGTTGCCAAGTCAACTTCTGCTTACACAACCATCCCGAAGATGTGATCACTCTGCTTCTGGCAGGGCCGTTTGGCAGTTTCTAAAGCTGTCAGCCTGAAGTTCCGTGGGCTCTCCAAGGAGCGGACTTCACAAGATCATATTTAAAGCATGTCTGTGGAACTAAGTAAAGATGGACATCAAAGAGCGACCCGAAGAGTTGTGTTGGCTAAGTAATTCTACACCCCCCCCCCCCCCCCCAATAGCAAAAGAATGAGCTCCAAGCTGAAGAGAGTGGAGTGTGTGTGTTTTTAAAGTACAGGGTGCCGGCTCACAGATCCAGCTTCCGTAGGTGAGCATGTGATACACACCGTCACATGCGTTCTCCGAAGCTCGAAATCTCTGTAAACATATTTCCCCGCTGTTTGATAAACGAAGAGTGGCTTGTAGGAGGGTCCAGTCTGTTCTCGAGTTTCTCAAGATTGTATCCTGTTCAAAAATATTTCATCCCAATGGGTTTTAATATCGGCCTTATAAAAACAGATGTGTAGGAACTGCCGTGAGATGCCCGGTACATTTTTTTTTTGGCACAATTACGATGATTTCTTTACCTTTACTTGTTACAAATACACGTTCGAAAAGAAAAATGAGACAACGACCTGTCTTTTCAACCACACGGTACGTTGTCAAGCATGATCCATCTTTAGGTTAAAATGAACTTTTAAAATATGGTTACAGGTGCTGCGCTGCTAACACGGAACTAACACACGGGCATCCTGGGGAAAGAAATCAACACCCTTTCTCTCCATCCAAAATCCAGTAAGAATTCCTGGGCCATGGCCTGGCCAGTTTTGGGGGACGAGGTTAGAAGAAGGGTTTTACATTTTGTCAGTCTTTATGAAAGGCAAATGTTTAGTTTTCACAGAACCATGGTATGTTCTACAATTAAGAATCACGAATAGCGTTCTTTCCAGGTGCCCCAGGGTCAGGGTTAGAATCATTAAGCGGAAGTAAAAGCAAAGATGGGATCCTGCCTTAAAAAAAAGCAAAACAAAAACTGATGATGTCGTTTGCATTGTTGGTCTTTCTCCAGATGTGATTATCACTCACTAATGGTCTGCAATGCTTCTTCTCCCGGTAATTTCAGCAAACGGGGTGGGCCCTGGGCAGCTGCAAACGCGGCCTTTCATTATCGCTTGCCTTATGCATGCCTTGGGGAGCGTGACCTTTTCTGGCAGAAGGAAAATATGCCAGCCTCAGATTTCCAAGACTCAGTGAGGTCCCGGCTCCTTGTTAGGAGAAAGGCATGTGTGTGCGTGTGCGCGTGTGCAAAGCCAACTACCCCCATGCCGTTCTAGGTGTTCCCTAAACAAGCTACCAACGGCATGGCAGCCAGAAATGTCTTGTTTGAAAGCCAGCTGGTTGAAAACAATTCTGGAGAGCGTGGGTGGGAGCCGAAGAAGTCTCCAAAATCCCGGAACCAGTGCGCTGCTCTGGGCCACCTGCTGTCACTAGGGAGGTGACTGACAGTCCAGGGAGGTGAATCTGCCTTGCACGCACTTTTCCTTCCACGCATCCTCGCCGCCTGCTTTTTAACAATACCTGTAGTTAGAAAGACTCTTCCTTGATAGTTGCACTCTCACTAGTCCCACAGAGCCGGGAGGACATGACGCGGACGAGGTATAGGGGTGTGCACGTGGTTAATCGGGTCCTAAGAATTCCCTTCTGCCTGAAATTCCTCCTTCTCTCCTCCTGGGGGTTTGAGCCGTATGGTGTGGGCTCCTGTGTGGTGTTAACCCCAGCAGCTTCTGCTTCTGGGCATGCAGGTCACCTTCAGATGTCTGGGCGGAGCTTCCGAGGAGGGGAGGGGTGGGAAGGGTGGGGGGCATAGTTTTCTTCTCATAGGCCCCTCCCTTCCCCCTGCAGGACTTGATTGCAAATACAGTCCGAAGTTACACAGTGCAGAGAAACAGTGCCCTTGGGTCTCCCCTATTTCAAGGGGTCGGGCGTTCCGGCACCCCAGGAGAAAAACAGAGCTCACCGCCCCCCCCGCCCCCCAACCTCCCGCCACCGATTTCAGGACAGGGCACCTTCCCTCCAGCACAAACCCTTATAACTGTGGACGAAGCTGCCGCTGCCTCCTAAGGCAGCGGATCTAGTATCCCAGGGCCGCCTTGCTGAACAAGGGGAAGGATTCTGGCACTTGTAGAATAAGCGACCTGCCCCTTCAGCGTTGAAGGAGTGTCAAAGGGAAACATTTTATTAACTGGGTTCCCTCAACCATTGTTCCCCTTGGCTCATCCACTCTGAAAAAACTTCTTTGTCATAGATCAGTCTTCTAGAAAGAAAACATTTTCTCATTTTGCCAGCATCCAGTGAGGCCGGGGTGGTCAAAGGGAAGGTTTATATAACATCTTTGCTGCCTTCAGAAGGACCGTGGGCGGGAGCGGATGTGGCAAGACCTTTCAGAGGCGGGGAGATTGGAAGGGGGAACGCGGGGCTTGTTCGAGAGCAGACCTGGTTAAGCATCCACACGTTAATCCAACAAAAAAGATGCTTGTTCCCAACCTAATCTGGGGGCTTTGATTTGTACTAAAAACACCAGGGGCGTGGATCGCAAAGACACATGCAATTGGAGGCAGCCACGGAACGGCAGGGCTGATGGAGAAACTCAACCTGGTTCTGCCTTTTCTCTCCCCCTCTGCTGCGGAGCTGGCTGCTGTGCAGTCGTCCACCTGCCTTCAGCAACCACTGAGGTCGTGACACGGACCCGGCTGCAGCTGCAGTACATCCAACCACACCCATCTCAGTTTCAAATATAATAAATACAGCGAAGAAGAAAACAGGAAGTCTTCAATAGAGAGTCTAAAGAAAAGACAGCCGACACGCTGGGGTTTTTTCCATCAAATGCCGTCTGCTCTCTGGATGAGTTTCTTGAGGAGGTTGTGGTTGAGTTCGTGTCTGGTGAGTTCCCTTCTCAAGTGCCACTCTCTTTAAATGGAAACTTCATACTCTCTGGTTTCCTGCAAGGGGGAGAAGTGGAGATCGAGCAAAGCCTTGTGTGGCGCAGTGACACATGGGTGGTCCCAGTGCTTCATCCCTTCCCAGGCCCCCCACCTTGGCCTTGTCATTTGCAGTGACTTCCGCTCTGACCCTGACTTGCTTTGGCCAATGGGTTAGAAGGAACCCGGTCACAAGGGGGGTTTGAAAAGTGCTTGTGTGTTTCTGCCTGTGCCCTGCCCTTCTCTTGTCCTCCTGGAGCAGAGCATGACATGGTAGCCTTTAGTCCCAGCAGAGGGGGAGAGATCAGGCACATGCAGAACAGAGCTGAGTCCCCCAGCCAACGACTAGCCAACCCCAGGTGTGTGGGCGAGCACAGGCGAACCAGGGCTGCCACTCAGCTGCCACTGACTGAAAACACCACCCCACTGACTGGAGAGCAGATTAATGAGTGGCTTGGAGCCACTGAGTTCGGGGAGTGTTTGTTACACAGCATGATTCGAGCTCTAGGTAACTGATATACTATGCTCATAAGTATTAACAAGGTCTGGTTTCTAAAGTGCTATTTTTCATCCGCTTGACCTTCTTCAAGGATTTGGAGAAAAGCTACATGGAATGCAAAACAACATGGGTTCTTCTTACCCGTGTCATATCTAAAATGACTACAATATACGGGTAGCAACTAGTTCACTTTCCCTCCTAGTGAGGGGGCGTGTGTAACATTCTCCAGGCCCCAGGGCAGAGGAGCAGGGAGGTGTAAGAAGTCTCGGGCTGTGCCCTAGAAGGCTGTGCCACAGGACACGCTTTAATAGAAGTCTATAGTTCCTGCTGGGCCCACAGAGACACGCAGTCAGGTGTGTGCTGTACGGCGTATGGGAGCATGGAGCGCAGTCTCTGAAGTGGTCCTGCGATCTCCACCTCCTGGCGTCTGCTCTCTTGTGTGACCCCCTCCCCTTACATGTGGGAAGGACCTGCGATTGGCCTCTAGCCAAGAGAATACAGCGTAAAGGTCCCAGGAGGCCACTTCTTTGTTTTGTATTACATAGGTTTGTGCGTTCCGTCTTGCAAGGGTACACTCTCTTTTTTTACTTTTATGTTTTATTCTTGTTGATTCTATTATAGTTGTCCCCACGTTTTTCCCCTTTGTCTTCCTCCATCCAGCCCACCCCCTGCTCTCACAGTCTATTCCCACACCCTTGTCCATGTTCATGGGTCATTCATTCATGTTCTTTGACACATCCCTTCCCCTGCTTTCCACCACTTCTTTCTTTCTTGGTGGCTGTGAAGAAGGTGCCGTGATGTGAGCTGCTTTATGGAGAAGACTACGTGGAAAGGAACCAAGGGTGGCCACTAGATTATTGCCTGCAAGAAACTGAGGCCCTTGGTCCGGCATCCTTCAAGGAGCTAAAGGCTGTGGATGACCACGTGAACTTGAAAGTGGAGGCTTCCCCAGTGAAGCCTCAGATGAGACCACAGCCCTTGTGAGCCCAGAAGTGGAGACCCGGCTAAGCTGTGCCTGGACTCCCGACCTACAGAATCTATGAGAGAATAAATGTGTGTGATTTTAGGCTCCTAAACTTGCAATAAAATTGCCACACATCAGTCAACAACTAACACAGGAGGTCAGAGGAAGGGGTGGTAGTGGTGGTGAGGGAACCTTAGTAGGGACAATGAACAAGTCAAGTTCATGCTCCCCGAATATGGGGAGATGATTACACAGTGAGTTCGAAGGGTCGTGGTTTTGCAAAGTCATGACCAAGCCTCTGGTTCCTCCCATGAGCCTCTGGGCCATTGCCTGGGATGTCCCTTCCCCTGGCATCTTCCGTAACCCCCACCTAAGCTCTACCCACCTTACAAGACTTAGCTTTACATCCCTGTATCATTGATGCCTTCCCCCGTCACTTCTACAGTAAGAGTCCGCCATCATATACTCTCGTAGCACCCTACTTTCTTTTGTAGTCCTAAAGAATAATCACTTGTTGCCATCAAACTATTCATGGGCATATTTGAGCGTCTGAGGTTGAAGGGAGGCAGGATAGCGTAGTGACTAACGGCACCAGGTAGAGTTTGCATCCTGGCTCCAGGTCTTGCCTTCCGGGGGTGTGCCACCTCAGCCAGGTCACGTTTTCCTTTCCCTGAACCTCGTTATCCTCATGAGTCAAGCAGAGGTGACCACAGAATCTACCACAGGGAGCTGCAAGGATTCAAGGAGATCGTGCATTTAAGATGCCCAGCCCATGGCCCATTTTATTATTGTTGCTATTATTGACATCTGGCACCTTTGCAAGACTCTAAGTTCATTAATGGCTGGATTGTGTGTATTGGGTTCATGGCTGTGTCCCTGGCACCCAACACTGGGCCTGCCATTCAAAGGTGCAGGGATGGTGCTCACTGCCATTCATGAAGGTGTGGCACTCAGTAAGATGTGTGGGAGTGTTGCCTGAAGCCACCAGGCCACCAGCGGGCTCTGACCCATCTCAGCCATCTCTCCAAGGGTATCTGGTGCAGCCCCTTCTCCCTGTGACCCTTCTGCCAGGAGGGAGCAGCGTTATAGGCTTGTCATTGGCTTGCACAGAGCACGGGGCTCTCTCAGCAGTTGGCGGAATGAGGGTCATGGTGGGGGTGAGACAGGACCACTGGCCACACCCCTCTGCCAGTGGCCGCATGAGCAAAAGGAAACGACACTTTCGTTTTGGTGTCAGCGAATTCAGTGCAGACAAAGAGGGAGGCACCGGGGAGGGAGGGGAGACCAACTCACCCCCGTCTCATAAATGGGGTTGTCAAACTCGGTTTCCACGGTGATCTGGCTGTAAGGGTGGGAGTACATCAGAGGCAGGCGGAGGCTGGAGTAATAGCGACACCTGGAGCAGAGGAAAAAGGAGAGAGAACTTACTTCTCCCGGACTGGGAGACACCTTACAACACCCCGAGGCAGCGATTTTCAACTTTCTCCGTCTCAGGGCACGCATAAACTAATCACCAACATTCTGCAGACCACCAAGAACCATATTTTTGGCCAATCTGACCCCCCCAAATAGGTATAATTTTTTATTGATTTTTCAAAAATGGTTATTACCTACTCTTTTTGCTCCAGACTGACTTCTGAAAAAGTCAGGTGCCTCTACTTGTGTGTAAGGGGTTCTGGTACCAAGAATTAACCAATCAGATGCAACCTTATTATCTGACGGGACCAATAGGATGGCTGCTCTGTTAAATGACCTGTATATGTATGGTTCAAGACAGGGCATTCACGCTGGAGGATATTGTGCTGGCTGTTGTCATTTTTTAATTCGAAAGTCCGAGGGAACAGAGGTCAGTGCCCCTGGCGGACCAGTCAGGTGCTGCAAGTTTTAACAATTCTTGCGGCGCACGGGTTGAAAAGTCGCCGCCTGAGGGAGATAGTGCCGCCTTCGGAGCACCAGCAACTCTGCAGACGACAAGGAGAATGTGTGGAAACAGCTCCTTGGGGGTGAGAATCCGAGCGGAGTAAAAGCTGAAATCGTAATTGCTTTCAACTTCCAACCCCGTCAGTGATAACTGAAGCCTTAGTACCTCCCCTGACTGCGGAGGGGGCGGGGCTTAATTTGTTTCCGCCTGCAAAGCGATTCAAATCCTTCTTTGATGCAAAGAGCAACAACACTAAAGAGCATTCACAGTATCTGCTGATAACTGCGTTGCCTCAGAGCGGCCCTGCCTGAGCACCGATTTAAAGGTGGTCCCTCGGGTACCACCCTCTTTCCTTCACTGTGTTTGTCCCAGTGTGGATTAGAATTTGTGGATGTCCACTCTCCCCCTACTAGACTGGGAGCTCCACGCAGGCGGAGATGATTTATATGTGGCAAACACCTGCCCCAGGGCCTTTGCACATGCTGGTTCTCTGCCTGGTATTCTCTTATCCCAGGCAGAGAACCCAGGTAGTTGCATGGCTTATCTTTGCATTGTTTTCAAGTCCTTACTCAAATGTCATTTCTCCGTGGTGACCCCTCTACCTGCTCCGTTTAAGGTGAAGCCACGGCCCCTATCCGGGTCCCCTTTTTCTCCCTTCCTGGTTTTCTTTTCCTCCCTGCGCTTATTGCCTTCTAATGTACTACCCATGTTTCTGGTGGACTAGTGTCTATTTCCCCTATCAGAACCTGGGCCCCACATGGGCAAAGATTTCCTTCAGTTCCCCCCCGCCCCCACCACGATGCCCCTAGAGTCCAGAAAACTGCCCCGCACATAGTAAGTGCTTAATGATTGTGACTTTGAATGAATTAGTGGCCGTTCTAGCCATGTTAAATATCTCCCTTCTTCACTTAAGTCAAGTTCTATGACCCCCAGACACCTGGGACAATGTCTGGTGCACATTGGATTGTCCACATAGAGTTGTGGGTCAGGTGAATGGATGAGCGAGTGAATGAATGGGCTGGTAGGACTGGTGACGTGAAACGTCTCTCTCTCCCACTGAACCACAGCTCCTTGAGGTCAGGGATAGAGTCTGTCTTACTGGCAGCTGCATGCTCAGCCCCCTTGCCGTGGGGGGTCAGCAGGTCTCCAGTAGAAACATTTACCTCTAATTGAGTTGAATCACATCATCCCCTCAGTCACACATGCTCCTGCCCTCCAGCTACAGGTGGAGACGTTGAGGTGCAGGGAGGTGCAATGCCCAGCCCCTGGTACACTGCTGGTTGAGTGGATGGCAGCCCCCCCCCGCCACAGGCCCCTACCTGGTGATGTAAATGTAGGCTCCTCCCAGCAGCAAGGAGATGATGAGGACGGGGATGAAGATGGCCAGTGCCATGTTGCCCCCCTCCAGCGACGTCTCAGCTGCCGCTTCTGCTACTAAACACACAAGCCGGTGAGGCCTTCACATCACCTACACTCAGCCCACCCGGGTACCTGGCTCCCAGGTGAGCACCCACCCTCCCGGTCCCGCACCCACTCAAAGAACTGATGTCCCTGAGCCTTCGCCATTGGAGAACCGTCTCTGAGGGGGAAGGAGGTAGAGACTAGAGGAGCCGGTGCTGGTTCCCTGCAACCGAGTCCAGACCCATCTTTGAGTGGGGCAGTCACTGGGTCTACTGAGAATTATGCTGTTTGGGCCCATTTTGGGGGGCGGGTGGGGGGTACAGGTGAAATCTGGTTCAACTCTAATACAAGGGAAGACTCAGAGAAATCCCAAATGTGCTGATGGGGAAGGCAGATTGGCTTCACATTCCATGGAGTGGAGAGAAGGAAGCTTGTTGTACCCAGATGGGTGGGTCCCACCCGGGTCCCAACCAGAGCTGCCCCATCAGCCCCTCCAGGAGGGGGCACTGGGCAACTGGGGCAGGTCTCAGCACCGCACCTCCCGACGGTACCCCAGCTGTGAAGACCCAATTTTGACTCTCAGAGGCCATGGTTGCAATTCCTTCAGCCTCACCTGGAGCCTCCTGCGCCCTTCCAACGTTAACGAAAATCACAGGAGCTACGACGGCTGTTGTGGGGGCCAGGGTGTTTTCCCAGCATGCCTCCAAGGGGACCCCTCATCTCTTTGAGCCTTCAGGGTTCCCTTTGCCATTCTCCCCACCATGTCTACAGAGCTCAGCTGCTTGGCAATCAATAATTCATTAGCTACCACTTACGGGGTCTGCGAAGGTGACCCTAATGCCTACAATACACGAGTGAGCACCAAACATCACAAGGGCACTACCGTCTCTGAGCAACCCCAAACCTTTGGGACATTCTCAGGGTTCACTGGCTGGCAAGAGGCAGAAAAGGGATGTCCCCAAAACACAAATGTCATGTGATGTCCAGTGAAGTGACTACTAACACATCCCCGGCCCTGTCTGCTCAGATTAAAATGTCATCTGTTATAAGGAACAGTGACTAAAGCCATATCATTGCACAGCCCCAGATTCTGAGTGAACTGCTGATTGCCAGAAAGTTAAATGGCTCCAAAGATAATAATGAAAGCTGCTTAATGCGTTACAACTTTAAACAAAACCAAACCATATATGTTTATGTTTTTCTGGCGCCATAGCCTGGTGAGTGGTTTTGTATCACCTAAGGGAGTTATAGAAAATACAGCCCTGACTGGGGTGGCTCAGTGAACTGAGCATGAGCCTGTGAACCAAAGGGTTCACTGGTTCAATGGCCAGTCAGGGCACATGCCTAGGTTGCAGGCCAGGTCCCCAGTTGGGGGTGTGCAAGAGGCAACCACACATTGATGTTTCTTTCCCTCTTTCTCCCTCCCTTCCCTTCTCTCTAAAAATAAATAAATAAAGTCTTTAAAAAAATACAGAATGTTTTAGTTATCAGAGAAGTTGAAAGGGGAAGGAACCACGACATGAAACCCAAAACAAGTCCTGGAGAGTTTTCGGCATCTGTTGCACGTTAACGAATCTTACTGGAAAATTCCTAACAAAAGGAGAACAGAGAAGAGGGTACAGGGACAGATATGTTGGGGAAGAAGAAGACCAAGTAAAAAATAGACCATCTCCTGGGGCTGACTTTTCCTTCCGAAACCAGGATGCTCAGCATAGGAGGCGAGGCACCGCTGGATTTGATTTCCCTGCAGAGGACCACGTGGCTGAAAAGCTTTATGATCGGGCGATGCCTTGGCCACAGAGAGGGACTCTCACATTCCTCGTCTCGCAGACAGCGCTGGCGCCAAATGCCTTTCGGGTCATAGCTAGGACTGAATGTTGTCAATTTGGTCATTTTTCTCTACAAGGCCGTTTGTTTTGAAATTATCTTCAGCAGGGCGAAGGAAGATTTTTTTGTTTATTTTTTGTAAGCCCACGGACTGGGAGAGTTTGGGGCCTGCGCTTGTTTGTCGCTATTAGTCTGATTAATTGGATTTTTCATGATGGAACTCACCTTCTAAAGCGTGTTCAAAGCTGTCTTGATTAACTGAAAGAGACAAAGAAAGCACTGGTCAATGTCAAGTGAATGTAACGAAGCCAAAAAGAACAGGAGCAGAAGCCCTGTACTGCACTTGGCTGAAGTTAGGGTCATGTTTTCTTTATTGTGGGCTACTGAAATTAGTGAAAATTCCTGGATGCTTTTCTTCCCAAGTTCCTGAGAGAAGAAAAGACAGATGTGAAGGAGACAAAGGCAACAAGAGTCATAATGAATAATTACTGAACACTTGCTATATGGCAGGCTTCAGGCCAAAAGCTTTATATGCACTTGTTCATTTAACCCTCACAACAATCTTGTTAGGTGGATCCTATTATCAAGCCCGTTTCACAGATGAGCAAACAGAGGATCAGCAAAGTGAAGGGACTTCTCTGACATCACACAGCTTCTGGGAGACAGAAGCAGGATTTAAACCTGGGCTGCTTGACTTTCTCTAGCACCTGCTCTTAACTACAGAGTGCCGGTCTTTCTAGTGTTTTCATGCAGAACAAAGGCTGATGCATGGTGAGGGCCAAGACGAAATCCCAAACCCCAAATCCGGCCAGAGGTAGAACCTTCTTCCTGCTTTCAAACACATTTATGTAAGCCGTTCTGATTTCACTTTTATTCCATACTTACTTGGCTGAGATTTATATTCCCTGTAAAACTGTTTTTGCTCCTTCATTCCTGCAAACTAGAGCTCTCTGGAGTTCACTCATTTCCCCGTAAAACCCCTCCGGAAGTTCACACTGATGGGGACCGGCCCCTCCTGCTTCGGCACCAAAGTTATCGTGGTACCTGAGCACAGAAATGTGCCCACACAGACGGGTTTCGAGGAAGCAGCACCTTGGGGTAAAAGTTTAGGTAAGAAGATTGCATTACGGCAGGGGGAGGGTGGCCCCCCAGGGACCCAGGTGCACTCCTGCCCTGCCTAATACCAAGACTTCGGAATTAGTGCCTCTGATGTTCATTGTTACAATGGAATGAAAACAAAACCAGTTTTTGTTTTTCATCAAAACAAAATCAGTCAGAACACTAGTTAACTGATTGATTAACTGCTGTGAACCTCAAAGCCCCTCCCACCATCTCAAATAAAGGCCTTTGACCTCAACCCAAAGAGCAGGGAGGTGCGAGCCTGAGAGGGCTCCGCAGGCAGGGAGACAGCACCCATGGGGGCTGTGAGCACCCAGGAGCCTCTGCAGGGACCACACCCAGTTCTCTGGGACGCAGGCCCATGACGGCGAGGCCACTTCGGACCCTGTCCCCCTACGCCAGACACGTTAATAACTTTATAGACATGTCTGTTTTAATTAAACCAAACTTAAATTGGTTTTAATATTAAATAATTTCCCAGATCACGTGACACCAAAAAGCATTTGAGTTCATTTCTCCTACGTTCTCAGTTTACCCAGTGCTCTGTTTCTCTCAGTCCTTGGGGACCGAGTGGCTGTGAGAAGGGGGTGCAGGGGACAGGAGACATCCCAGCCACGCTGTCAAGGTGAGTCAAAAGCAGAATGGCTCTCTTTTATGATAAAAACCTAGGCTGGAAAGAGCTCTTTTAGCAAGTTGAAATAAAAATGCTAAGCAAGGAGAAGGGATTGTGTTGTAGTTTAATGGTCAGTAATTTTTTTCTTACTCAGTGGTGCAGAGAATAATGGTGGTCTCTTAGATTTAAAGAAATGCAGTAGCTCGGCTTTTTGGAACAGATTCAGAACCCCTGCAGCCCAGTCCTGACATGTCCAGGTGCGCCAGTCCCCGTGTTTCGAGGGGGTTCCGTTACCTTTGCACACAGGCAGGGGCCCGTTCCAGTGGGACGGCTGTCCCAGGATGCACCGAATGGTCACTTCGCCCATGAGCTCAAAGCCCTCGTAGCACATGAAGGTGAGGGACTCTCCTGGCAGGTACAGTCGCTTGTACAGGATTTGGTACCCGTTTTCTGGTAACCCTGGGTTGTCACATGCCAAAGACTCTTCCGCTGAAACGCAAGCCAAAAGGAGCTCTGATGAGGTGGCGCGAACCTCTGTGGATTCCCACTCAGAGCCTGCAGGATCTGGCTGCGGCCACTCGGCAACATTCTCCGTCTCCATCGCCGCCTCCCGTGGAACTGTTTCCCATTCCTCAAACGCACCTTTCTCTCCCCTACCTCTGGGTGTGGCTTCCACGCGGGCACGGTAGGATGCACTGGGCTGTGGAATATGGGTTCACATCTTGTATCCGCTACTCACCTCCAGCAAGGGCCACAGACTCTCTGAGCCTCAGTTTCCTCATCAGTAAAATGGGAACAACAGCAGTACCTAGCTCACAGGTACTACTATTACTGGAAGGTCAAATAAGAGAATGGTGCAAAATGCTCTCGGCATGTCCTGAACACTCTATAAATGAGGGATGGTGGCGTTAACTTATGGAGTATCCCTTCTGCTTCTGACATTACACCTTACCTGCCCTCCAAGGCTGCATTCAGTCTTGTCCTTCAACACTCAGTTTCCATTTCTCCACCTCCAGGAAGCCTTCCCTGATTCAATCACTATCCCTAATCAGTCACTGGTCTTTCCAGTTCTTTCCCCACCCCAGCACTGCATACACGGTATTATATTTAATCATTTACTATTAGTTTCCCTTACTGGAAATGAGCCTGTTAGGGTTTGCTTGAAGCTCAGGGCCTGGTATATGGTAGGAACATCATAACTAACGTCAAGATATCCAGTAAGAGCGTCATAAGTAACCTCTGTGGGCAAAATATTGACTTCTCTGAGCCTCAGCTTCCTCATCAGTAAAATGGGTTCTCTCATAGGGCTGGTACGGGGGTTAAATGAGCTGAGGCATGTTGAGGGGGCAGCACAGAGTGAGCTCCCAGTGGACACCGGTCACTTGCGTGGCCTTTACAATTCCTGTCGTCTTATCATACCAAGTGTACTACTGTTTCTTAATATTTTTTATTCCTGTTGGCTTGCTTTTCCACTTAAATAGTGCTACACAACGTAGCCTCGCCCTAAATAATATTTCGATAATCACAGATTTCAAAGGTCAGTTTTCATTTTTCTTAACAAAACACCAAAAATTTAACCTGGGCACTGTCTCAAGCAAGCCACGCGGGTACCACCGTGGTGTGAATAACACTCCTTGGGGAAGGCAGCCCGAAGCACCACACTTTGTAGTTTATGATTCCCGGAGTCTAGAACCCGCTCATTTATCTGCTTATTTATCTCTGGTCCAGCAGACACTGCCCGGCCCCTCTGTGCCGGGCTTGTGCACGGTGTGATGAGCTGGGAAGGTGTGGTTTCTGTTTGCCCGGAACTCAGTCTAGAGGGAGAGAGAAGGGATGTCTGGTGATGGTGACCCAGTCCAGGAACGGCTGTGACCGGGAAGCACAGGAAAACCCCACCTGACCGGTCCCGGTGGGAAGGGGCACTGTGGAGGTAGGGTGGGAGGGGGCGGGATGAGATGCTGATCTGATTGGCTGCTGCTTCCCACTCTTCTGGGTGGGTGGAGAAGTAAGGGACCCTTATGGCCGTATATTACCTGCAATGTAGGGAAGTGGCCAGCAGGTGGCAATAGTTACTCAGAAGAATTTTCCCACGACCTTTCCTGGAATTTCCTTTCGTAAATTAACTGAGAAGTGAGTACATTTTTCGAGCGCCTTCTATGTGCCAGGCACTGCTCTGGGCCTGGACATACAATGGTGAACAAGTTACGCAGACATGGCCCCTGCTGTCATGCAACTTAACGTCCATGTATTCCACAAATATTTTCTGGATGCCAATCTGTGCCGAGAACTGCCCTGGCACTAGGGAGATAGAAAATGACAAGGAGTAAATTCCTAGATCTGGAGGCAAAGCGAGGCGCTGCCAGCAAGTTCAGGAAGGTGAGGGGCGTCGTGCACACCTGTTCTCCCCTGGTCGCAACCCCCAGGTTCCCCCCCCGACCCCGTCAGTCCTGTGCCTCGCTCCCAAGGCACTTTGATTGGTTCCCCAGAACATGCTCTTGAAGTTCCCCAGATGATTGTAAAGTTCAGACAGAGCTTTAGGGCCAGAGGGTTTGGGGCTCAGAACCACAAAAACATTCATAATTTAATTAATTCCCCAAATATTCCAACAATCATTTTATACCTGATGATTTGTATATATTATTTCCAGTCCTTCCCCAAATCCTTAAAGGTAGTAACACTAATGACCGGACTGGCCAGTATTTACTGAGGGCACCCTGTGCATCAGGCAGTACTTGGAGTTTTACATCTACGATCTCATATAATTATCCCAACAACCCAGGGCAGTATTATCACCACCCCATGGGCATCTGGGCAGACAAAGTGCAAAATGGCTGGGCAATCTGAACGAGTTAGTGGGAGAGAGAGGCTTCAGAGCCAGGTGGTCCAAGCCCACTCTTCACCACCACACCCTGCAGCCATTTTACAGATGAGAACACTGAGGCTCAGGGCAAGGCCACTTGTGAAAGGCGCCCCCTCCAGAAGGAAGTAGCTGTGCTGTGGTTCGAGCTCAGGATTCTCTGTAAGGTGAGTCAGGTCACCTTTGATCCAACCCCCAGTAAAAGTCTCAGAAGACTTTCACGTGGATTTCTCCCCTGGCAGAAACCAGCTTTCTTTGGAAGCGGTTGTGTTTATCTTCAGTGCCCGGAACATGGCAGGAGAATGACGTGAAAAGTGACTAGAATTTGAAACTGGAGGCCTGAATCTGCCCTGTGACCTTGGGTGAATCCCCGGACTGCATTTTCCCACCAGTGGAGTAAATGGGCCGAACCAGGGCTCTGTCCTCGCTGAGACACGGCTGACCATGACAGTTCCGCTCTGAGGATGTCCCGCACTTTGAAAACTAATCATCTACGGTAGGTTTTCTCAACCTGGACTTCATTGAGATTTTGGGCCGGGGAATTCTCCATGGTCGGGACTGTCCTGTGCCTTGTGGGGTGTGGAGCAGCCCCCCTGGTCCCTGCTCAGCAGATGCCAGCAGCACCCCTTGCTCACTCCTGGGACAGCCAAAAATGTCTCTGGAAATTGGCCTTCACGAGTGTCTCCTGGGGAGCAAGATCGCCCCTCCTGGCAGAGAAACACTGGCCTGAGGTTTGAACAATTCCGGTTGCAAATTCATGTGGCCCCTCACCCACATTCTCTCCCAGGAATGCGGTGAGCTAGCCTGGTGGTTCAGAGACGTGGCCACAAACCTCCCTTCATTTCTATCCCCCCCCCCCATCTTTAACTATAAGAAGAAAACATGCATTTTTGGAGCACATTTGAGCAAAATGCTCAAAATCAGGTTTGCTAGTTACTTTTTTTAATTACTGATTTTAGAGAGAGAGAGAGAAACATCCATTTGCTGTCCGTCCACCCAATGCATTCAGTGGTTGCTTCTTGTATGTGCCCTGACCAGGGATCAAACCCACAACCCTGGAGTAGTGGGACGAGGCTCTAACCAGCGGAGCTACAGGCCAGGGCAGGTTCACTACTTATTGCTAGAGTTGTTTTGCAATATATCCCATGAGTGGTAATTAGCAAACAGTGTTAATGGAGCACTTGCTATAGGCCAGACACATTGTTATGAGCTTTTATATCTATGGTCGGCACGATCGTTTTCTTGGTCTTTTTGATGAGGAACCAGCTCCCGCAAAGCCACGCAGCTGGCAAGTGGCAGAGCTGGCTGCACACCCAGACCTGCTGGATTTCCAGTCGGGGCTTTTAATGATTCTGCTGTAATGAAGGGCCCTTCTCATGCTCAAAGCCCCCGAGTTATCAGGGCTTCCCCTGAGCTCCTGCTTTCTCAGAGACAGGGATTTCTAGATGAATATAGACACCCAGCCAGAGCTGGCATGCTGGCCGAGGCAAGGACCCTGGGGACCGCTCATCAATGGGAGCTTTGACTCAGGTCACTGTCTGGCCACATGGGCTCTGCCAGGGCCTCCTGGGGAATCGCCAAGTGCTTCCCCAGAGAGCCATCCATAACACCCTCACTGCATCCGTCCTCCCCTCACTACTCTGGGAGCGTGGCTTGTGTGTTCTGGACGGGAGCCTGAGGACTCATTTCGCATGCCACCGGCAAGGAAGGGAAGGTGCCAGGAAGCCACAAGGTGTAATAAAGGCCATATTAGTTTTGCTAACAATAACAACAGTAATAGTAACACTGGGCCCCAGGGATGGGAGAATTAATAGGATACAATCAAAGCAAGTGAGTTATGTGTCTGCTTCTCTAAACATATAAACAGATCCTTTCAATAGGTTACAGCAGTTTCTGTGACCATGGTAACTATAGGTGCCATGGGAATTCAGAGGAGAGAAATGTGACCTAGTATAGGCAGTCAGGAAGGCCTTCCTGGAGGAGGTGACACTTACCCATTGTTATTTCACTCATAGATTTGGTTTTCCTCCCATCATCTCCAATAGACCCCAGCCTCCATGAGGACCCGATCATGTCTGTTTGTACATTGCTGTATTTGCAGGGCCTACAACTGCAGTTCCCAAACTGTGTACCAAGGAACCCTGGGGTGCTAGCACAGTGCAAATCTGGGTGTTCCGTGGCTGCAGTGCTAAAAGGCAAGAACGGTGGCAAATCCAGGAGACAGAGGGGCTGAAAGAGGCAGCGGCCAGCCTGGTGCTGAAGTCTGAGGACTTCCATGGGGCCCACGGATGTACAGTTCCCTGCAGCAGTAACTGTAGTTGTCAAAGAATGAGATGAAAATACAACCTTTCTTTCCAGTTACGTGTGTTACTTTCTCAAACAGCTACTAAGTTATCCAGACAGAGCTACTTACCAAGGTGTTTAGGTTGAACTACTTAATAAATAGAATTGTTGGGTATTTTGGCCTAAGGAATGGATGAAAAAATTCCTGAGACACCAAAGGTACCTTGAGATGAGAAAGTTTGGGAACCTCTGCCTGGGCCCTGTGCCTGCATGTAGGAAGTGCTAGTAAATGACCAAGTAATTTGCCTCCAATAGGCCTGCCTGGTAGGGAGTATTAGTTCCTTTTCAGCCCTCAGAGGAGAGCTCTGAGGCTCAGAGAGGGCAAGTTCCTTGCTCAAAGTCACCCAGCAGAGCTGGGAGTGTGTCTGACCACGAGTCCCGGACTCCTTCCCCCGCTGATGCCTGACTGTCTGTACTTGAAGTGGCTTGGACTAGGAGTGAAAGGCATCGCTTTGAGTCCCAGCTGGACGAAGCCACGGCCGTGAGCGAGCAGCTCTGAACAGAAGCTGTGGATGACCAGAGCTCACACAGTTTGCTTCCTCTGTCTGGTGAGCTTGTTGGTAGAAGATCTTGGCCAACAGTAAAGCGCCAGAACTTCGCCAGAAGATGGGGCTGCAGTGATGAGGTGGGGTGATAATGTTCTGGGGGTTTGTTGGGCTTGAGTGGAAATCCTAGGACCGCCTCTTTGCTGCTGTGTGACCTCGGGAAAGTGACTCGCCCTCTCTGAGCCTCCTTTGCCTGCTTTTAAGTGGACGCACATAGCATTCATGCAGTTTTGCAAGGGTTAAACGTGTCTGTGTTGGGGCAGGCCACGGCACAGTGAAGGGGCCCATCAAATCGGGGCTGTTCATTGTTCAGGAGAGGAAACATTTAAAGCCGTTTTCTGTCTGACACTGTCATCCTGGAAAACGCCCTCAGAACCCGGACTGTAACCTCCTGTCCACACCAGGCACCGTGCTGCCAGAATTTAACCCCTCTCTTGCCTCAGGTGTCGTCCCTGCCAGCCTCGCCTGCCTGTAGCGTTGCCAGAACCACAGGTTGGCTGCTTTTTTCAGGCTTCCGGGAGGATCCCGAGTCTCCTGACACCCAGCTCCACTCGTGAACTCATTAGCATGGGTGTCACGGAAGCCGTCTCCACTGAGTCCCGATGCTGTGATCTCAGGGAAAGGCGCCCCGAAGGGAGCGAGACTCCCTTCTCAGACACCCAGCAGCCGCTGCAGCCCACAGGGTCCTGGGAGGCAGTGCCTCATTAGTGAAATGCCTTTTCTCTCTTTTTAAAAATGGTATCTCCGCCTTTCCAGAGTTGACAGTACACTTTGATTTTCAGCTTTTCATGCCTGGCGTTCTGCGGCTTGCACTTCTCAACCTGACAAGTCACTAGGAGGACTTCCCAGGCTCCTGTAAGGAAGTGCCACACACCGGAGGGCCTAGGACAACAGGGACACACGGTCTCACAGCTCTGGAGGTCAGACGCCCGCGACCAAGGTGTCGGCAGGGCCAGGCTCCCTCTGACACCTGGAGGGGGACACCTGGCCTTGCTTCTCCCTGACTTCCGCTGGTAGCTGGTGGCGCTTGGTGTCCCTGACTTGCAGGTGTAGCGCCCCATCTCTGTCACCACATGGTGTCCCCCCTCTTGTTGTAAGCACACTTGTCACTGGGTTAGCACCCGTCCCCATCCAGTATGACCTCGCCTGCACTTGATGGCATTTGCAAAGGTTCTCTTTTTTAAAAAGGTCACAGTTACAGGGACTGGGGTCAGAGGTGAGGACTTCAACATCTGTTTTCGGGGAACGCAATCCAACGCGTAACTGGAACTTGACCTAAAGGTCTGGGGACTTTAGGTCCCCTCTGAGGGGATGCGGTTGTAGTTAAGGGTTAGGGCTATGATTCCCCTGGGACGCCCCTGCCACTCACAGTGAAACGATGTTGCAGACTAGGCTGGTGGGAAGGAAACTGAACTTGGAGACCAGGGTCCTACCTCTGCCCTTGAAGAGGAGCTATGATCTTAATCCTGTCTGCCTTGAGTTTCGATTTCTCTTACCCACACAGAGTTGTAGATATAAATACTGTGTGCATACACACACAAAACACTCACAAATATCTTTGTGTGTAACCTGCTTAGCAATGTATTTTATACATTCAATAAATGATAACTATGATTACCTGTTCCCCCCCAGCTTTAGTTTCCCTAATATACATGCACACACGTATATACATTCCTATGTACATACTACCCATTCCTTCACAAATATATCTGATGTGTTTCGCAAAATATCTCACACAATCAATGAACAGAAACTCTTGGTATTATCTGAAAAATGGGGCAGCTGTGTCTTATCTCTAAGTTACCCCTCAGTTGCACGGTATCTGCCCGTCTCCCTTCAGCTCTGAAATTCTAGAAATCAGACTGAAGGGGCAGATGGGAGCAGAGGGCCGTGTGGCCTGAGGTCCCTAGTTACATGCAAAAAAAGAACAAAAGCTTTAATAGGCTTTACATTTTGATGCAGTCCACCCGGCCGCGTCCGGAGCTCGAGGTGGCTGTGCCTTGAACGAAGCCGTTTGTAACACACTGACTACACGGTCCGTGCTGCCCACAGTGTCTAAACTCCAGACACCACGTGTGGCTCTGAGGCCACCTGCTTTCCCCAAACGCTGATTCTGGTCCCTGGTCGCACGGCAGCTGTAAACCTGCTGCCGACATGGGTGACACCCCAGAGCAGCTGCATCCGAATCCCCATTGGGAGTTAAACCTTCCCGGCTGCTCCCCAGGTGCCCTGGGGCTGAGACACCTGGCCCGCTGCTCTCCACCTCCTCTGCCCCCCCTAAGAAGAGTAACCCCTCCCTTTTCAGTGAGTGACCTGGGAAGCCTTTTTAGAGTTTTTGTGGTTAAGAATTTCACAACATTTTCTTTTTCTAACCAAACATTTGCTTCTGTGTCTCCACATGGACAAGGCCAAAGAGTTGAAACTGCCCTGTTTAGTGCCTGGTGGACTGCTGGCTTTTATGCAGTTAAAGAGCCAGGCGGGTCTGGGTTTGTCTCTGGTCTCCAGCTGTGTGACCTGGGGCAATGAGTTCATCTCTCTGGACCTTCTTAAAAGGGAGGCAGTAATGCCGTGCCCCCATGGCTAGGGCGGGGGTGGGGTGGGGGAAAGAAGGGAGGGACCCTGCGTAAAGGAGCTAGCTTGGTGCCGGGTACATTCACCCTAAGTGTTGCAGCTTCCACACTCTCAGTGCATGTCAGCTATTGTCCTGTGATAGGCATGGTAACAACCACTGCCACAGGGCGGAAGGCCTCCCCCAGCAGCCCAGCCGTGCCCCCCAGAATGAGAAGATGGCGAAACCACGCTGGTGTCAAGCCAGCACATTGGACTTACAGACACAGTGCGGCAGGCGTGACGTCCAGATGGGCGTGCCGGTCTCACGGCTGTAGCAGGTCAGCAGCGAGCTGCCCTCCAGCACGAAGCCGGGGTTGCAGGTGTACTGGATGGTGGTGCCCACCAGCAGCACGGGGTCCGAGATCAAGCGGGTCGAGTGGTCCACTTCTCCGGGGTCAGTGCAGTACATAACTACGCGAGAGGAGATCAGACCAAGTGCGTTAGGGCTCCCGAGGGGTGCAGGTTTCCTGAGAATTACAGGATGAACTAGAAAGGTTCCTATCTCGGCTCTTTTCTGGCGGGCTTGTCCAAGGTGGCTGGAGAGAGATTGGGATTTCATGCCACTTGCAGGAATTTGCCCAAAGAATTTGTATCAGAGCCGGAATCCTGATGTACAAGATCACGCATTGCACCGTTGTTTGTAATGGCAAAAAACAAAACAATGCAAATTCTGCAGCAGGGGATGAGTTAAATAAGGAACAGCCATTCATCAAATCCTGAGCAATCACTACAGAGAACCCAGGGAGGGGGCTCACGGCTTCCTTTGTAGTGCTCGAACATAGTACAACAAGCATCCATTACTTCTGAATTGAAAAGTCAGTGTAGCAAAAGGAAGACAATAAGCCAATTAAAAAGAACGAAGTAGACGACATGTGCAGTATGAAAACATATCTGTATTTCTGAGTTGCGGCTGCGAGGGAGTTTGTAGAAATTGACCCCTATTTACAGGAAGATATCTGTCGCTATTTCCATGTGCATATCTGTGTATGTACATCTGCCTACAGAATACACCCATGTGTGCATGCATGTGTCTGTGTAGCACACGCAGACACACACACGTGCACTTGGAGCCATATACAATGTGCTTTTAAGAGAGTAAGATTGTAAGGGAGTTCTACCTCCCCTTCTAATTCACAATTTTACTCCAGCTTGAGTGTCATAAGTAAGTGTTTGTTACTTGAGTAATTTTGTTACTATTTAACATCAAAAAATAATATTTACAACATTTAAGAATTGTTACATAACACACATCATACTATTGTACATGTTATCATGCATATAATGCATGTAACAATAGATGTTGATCATGTGATAACATAGATCATGCCAATGAGCTCGTAATGGGTCTCTCATGTTGCCGCCCATGGTGTTTCTCACTGGTCATTTTTCGTTTTCTGATGTGGGACACACACACACAACCACACTCACACAACCACACACATACCACATATACACACAACCACACACACAACCACACTCACACACACACAACCACATACATACCACACACACAACCACACACAACCACATACACACACAACCACACACATACCACACCTGGTTGCGGAACAAAGAGATTGTGCGTGCAGCCGATTTTGTGGGTTTTTAGCAAGTTCTCTCACATTTTCCACAAGCATAATTTTCTTTGGCGTCAGAATTCTCGTGGCAGGAATTGCGTGCGAGCCCCGCACCCCTCCCCACACCCTCTCTCTCTGATCGCACTTAGTAGCTTGGCCCTCTGTGTGTCTGAGGGTTTCGAACCTGCAGATTCAACCAACTGTGATCTGAGAAACAGTATTTTCTGACTGTACGCCTTGTTCTGTGCTATTTTGTGTGAGGGCCTTGAGCATCCGAGGATTTTTGTATCTGTTGGGCGTTCCTGAAATCAACCCCCATGGGGACCGAGGGACAGCTGTATTGCGTATTGTGCATTTGGTGACTCGGGTGACACTGAAGGCTCCACCAGGGCTCCCCAGCCAGAGGGTCGCGGACTAGAGCTTTCTGTAGGAGGTGGAGACAAATGGCTGGAGGAGGAGGCCACCTCCGAGTTTAGCTCCTCCCCTGCTACAGAGGCATCTTTGTAGAAACCAGAAGCACTTCCTTTCCTACGCTTCTTCCAGCCACCGGACTCAGCCGGCCCTGGTCACACCCAGCCCGCACTCCAGAGGGGCGCAGGCAGAAGGAGCCGGGAGCCTGGATGCTGTCTGGAGGGGTCAGCCACCCACCACAGGGGCTTCGAACTGTGACTCCAGGGTCCGACTGAATTTATTTTGCTTGGCTCCTACAGGAATTTTAAAGACCGGAACTTGAATGCTGTTTTTACACGGGCTACGTGCTTCCCCCTTTGCCACAGTCCATACCCCTCCCTGGTGTCTGACAGGAATCTACTTCACTCATGTACATTACCTGCCAGGCTTCCGAAGGCACCTGAGTCTGAGATTTCTGCTCTGGGGCCACAAAGTGGCCTCTGTGAGCAGCACCAGCGAGCTGGCGGAGTAGAAGGGAGGCCAGATTCTACTTTAATAATTCCAGTGCATCCATGAAAAAAAAGTCCACAGGAGGGATTCCCCACCCACTAACCTAGAGGAAGCAAAACAAGACTGTGCTTACTTTTCTCACAAAATGGGGGGTCGCTGCTCCAGCTGAGGTCCCACTGGCAGGTGAGGGTGTCGCTCCCCACGATGTCGTAGCCTGGGTCACACTGGTAAGTGATTCTGGCTCCCCTCACTAGCTCCGTGTGCGAGGTGGTTTTCCAGCCGTTCTGGATCTCGGGCAGATCCGAGCAGGAGTCGTTCCTTGACACCTCTATGAAACAGAGACATTGTCCTTACGTGGGGAGGTGGCCGGTTTTACCAATGTCAGAGGAAAAAACACACTTCCCAAACCCCTCAAAACGGTAAGAACTCTTCTATAGTGAGGTTTTACAATGACCTCTTCCCCGTGGGTCACTGAACTTACCAAACATCCTCCTGGTTCGATGCAGTTACGTTAGGATTTAGAGTCGGACAGAATCCTCACTCTGCTACTGACTAGCAGCATGACCAGCCATGGTCACTTCTCTCTGCGTCTCAAGGTCCCTGCTGTTCAGGACTATCACACTCATGCGTGCCTCTCTGCCATCACCAGCTTCCAGGGTGTCCCCCAGTTGTTCTAGCCTGGAATTCACATCCTCATATAGCCCTGGCCAACATCAAATCAGATCGACACACACAGCCAGTAGGCTGTTGCAGACGTGATGGTGTGTGACTTCCAAGGTTACTTCATCAAAAGCACGGAGGCTCCTTGCTGTTTCTCTTGTATCACTTTCTCTGGAGGAAGTGATACAATGTTGTGTAGCCACCACGGGGTGAGGATGCTCGAGCGGCCTCTGGAGAGATGCATGTGAAGAGGCTGAGATGGCCTGCCAACAGCTGGCATCAACTTGCAAGCCACAATGGTGTGGAAGGGAAGCCACCAGCCACCATTGACATCTTGACTACAACCTCATGAGAGACCCTGAGCCAGAATCACCCCACATCAACTTCTCAGTTCCTGATCCACAGAAACTCTGACATAATACATGTTTATGGCTAATTTTAGAAGGAGGGGTCATTCATTACACAGCAATAGATAGCTAATACACTCAGCCTCATCCTAAGAATGTCTGTAAATCCACGGGCTTGATGGATTAGCAATACATATTTTTGTAATGCAGATGAAGAGCAATACTTGACTATTAAAATAAGAATAACGATGGGTGCATTCTTCGAGTCACACTGCATTATCATTGGTGAACACTAACCACACTCCAGAAATTGCTACTTGCAGCTTTGTTATCTTGGAGTCTTCCTCTGGAATAATTTTGTTTTTCTTTAGCAAACCCTCATTACTAAGATAGCAATCCAAAGCCCACTATTACTCTTCCTGCTTCCAAGTGCACACTGCGCAGATATTGAGAAAGAGCTAATTATGCCGTGTAATTAATTTGCAGTTCTTATGTGCTGCTGGGGAAAGCAAGGCCCCTCGGCTGTCTGCAGGAGAGTCGTTCTGAGAGAGAAGTCCTGGTTCTTCCCGGGATTTCATCACGGCTTTATTCAGGGAGAGGAGACCTCACGCTGTCTGCACCAAGTAGGGAGAGGTGATGGCTTCTGGAATCGCTTGGTGGGGAACAGGAGCCTCTATTTTTAGGTCTTTGAAGAATCAGCCAAGCCTTGGATTTAGGACACAGCTGCAAATGTGCAAATTAGGGATGAAAAGGGAGAAATGGGGGCAAATACTGGGTAGGTGGTCCACCTAGTGCCAAAGTGCTTCGCTGAAAAAGACTTGCTCGTCTGACTTTTCAGTGTGAGCCCACAAGGCCACACACTGCTGGGAGACCCTTTGTCTCCTTTGTGGCTTTCGTCACATCTGTGACCACTCAGCTGCTGCTGCCCTCTAGCAGAGATTTGGCTTAAATCTTGGCCTCACAGTTTACATGTTCAGTGGTCTTGGCTCAGTCACATAGCCTTCCTGTTCTTCAGTGACTTGACTGCACTCCCAGGGACCCTGAGTCAGGAATCTGCAGTCATCAGACACCCTTGGGGGAGTTTCTGGGGGCCCTGAAGTTTGCTAGGAATGAGAACACTGGTCCAGGAGTTGGAGGGCATCACTTGTAACCCTGTTTATTTCAGAAGCTGTGTGACTAATCATGTCAATAAACATCTCTGAGCCTCACCGTCCCCAACCATGGAGTGGAGACACAAATCACGACCCTGTCTACCCCTAAGGCAGAGCGAATGCTCACTGATGTGCAGTTTTATGGATTAATTGATTTGATTGACTAAGATTTTGGTCCTCCCATATACTAGGAGAATAGGGGTCTGAAGTCCCGGCTGCAGTTTTATGGTGAAGATCAGCATTGTGGTCCAACTTGTGGGCAAAAGAAACGCCCCAATGCACTGACTACATGCCATCATCTACTGGTCTTGTGCTCTTGGCAGACATCACTAATCAGTCACAGCAATCCCTGTCACTGGATCAAGCTGAAACCCTCTAGGCCTTCTCAACACAGCACTCCAGGGAGCTGCTGCCATGTGATTGGAGTTGACCAATCATATAGAGCTTATTTATTATCCCAGGATTAGATGAATAAATACACAAGCAAGCAGCATCTCTTTGAAAAACACTGCTGACTCATCTCTGCTTTGTTGTCCCCATCCCCTCCCATGCACTTGGCCCAAAGCACAAGAAGCAGTGATGAGAATGGGCCTGTGCAAAGATCGATGGGAGGTCAGAACCATGTAAGCACATGGTTCTGACAGCAGCCATAGCAGGCCGGCTTTGACAAACATCCAGAGCTGGGGTTCAGGCCTTGAGACCTGTCAAGAGCCCCAGAATTCTCTGCACAACCACAGAAGCCCCTGACCCTTCCATCTGATGCCTCTGCTGAAGGGAGGTTGCATCTGTGTCTGGTCAGACCTAGACCTACGATAGCAGACACCTCTCCTGTGCCGTGGCAGACATCACTAATCCATCATGCTATTCTTTTCCCCTGACTTCAGACACTGCCGCCACTGAATTCTTTTCAACATGGTCTTCGACGCAGGCAGTCACAAGCAATTGACTGGCATCCAAAAGAAATACAGCGGCCCGCTTGCCTTCCCTGTAAAGTTAACTGTATTTCTTTAACAGAAATAAGAACCAAGGGAACCGTTCTGTCTTTTGTGTGCCGCCCATGTTAGTTAGTCTGTGTGCCCTTGGGAAGCAGCCTCTGAAATCCCATGCTTGCTTCTCCCACAGCATCAGCACCTGACCCTGACATTGCCTGAGGCCGGACTCCTTCTCCCATGTCCACCAGCCAGCTCAAGGGCAGCGATGACATTCTGTTCATTCCCAGACCCTGGTGTCTAGAGCAGGGCCTGGCACACAGGAGGTGTCGAGAGATTTTTGCGAATCAAACTATCTGGAAAATGAAGATAATGCATTTGGAGAATAGAATAAAATAAAATTATATATGGAAGAGTGCTTGCCAACTTCAAGTTGTCACACAAGTCTCAGTTTCAGCTTCAATTAACAAGAGCACCTCCTCTTCAATGTGGCCAAAACGAACACTGGCCAGACTTCCCTGTCACCCTTGGGTAGCTGCGGATAGAGTTGGATTTCTGCTGTCAGCTGAGTGCAACTTGGGAGACTGACTCAGGCACCAGAGGAGACAGAAGAGCAAAACTGTGACCTCATCTTTTGGCAGGGAACAGGGGAAAAGTCCAAGGAGACAGACTGAAGCCAAGCCACCGGACACTCTCCTTCCAAAGGCAGCTGACCCTGGAGGGCACGTCGGCTGGACAGCCGGCATGAGCCCTCCCCCCGTGCCCAGGGCACTGCCCAGTCAAGAGTGGAAAACGTGTGCAAAGTAGCAGCAATAACACTCTGAAAATACTTAGCAGCACAATCCAGGGTGAAAAGGCTCCTGAGAACACTAGAAAGAAGATCGACACTTGTGTTTGCCTCTCTGACGGCGGCCCCTAGAGCAGGCCGGGCTGAGAAATGCCTGCCGGCTGGAAATGAACAAGGGGCTTATTTTCCCACACAGGAGGCTCTTGACACAGCCAGTGGTCAGGGAGGTGGCACGGGGGGGGGGGCATTTTATTGAGATCGAGATAAACCAGTGTTCAAGCCCAAGGGGGACAAAGAACCAATGGCTCCAGCCAGAGCATCTTTGGCGCTGGGGGCACAGTGGAGGCCTGAACAGGGGGACCCCCCTTTTTCCTCTCTATCCGGATGAAATCAAGATGTCACCTTGTTCCTGGGAGGTGTCACCATGTCCCCTACTTTCTGGCTGAATGTTGCCCATTGAAATTCTCAAAGCACGCCACCCAGCATCCTGGGTGCCAAAAGGAGTTTGTTTGTGTTTTTGTTTTTTTTTTTTAAGATTTTATTCATTTATCTTTAGAGGGGAAGGGAAGAAGAGAGGGAGAGAAATATCAAGGTATGGTTGCCTCTCGTGTGTCCCCTGCCGGGAACTGGCCTGCAACCCAGGCATGTGCCCTGACTTGGAATCTAACCATGACCCCTTAGTTCATAGGCCCGAGCTCAATCCACTGAGCTACACCAGCCAGGGTAGGAGTTTGGTTTTAATCGCCCTCTTGTGTCTCCCAGGCTCTCTGCTGTTACCAAGAATGTCTTAGGTAAAGAAGCCCGAAGAGCTGGGAGCCTGGCTGTGATCCCCAAGTGTGACCCTGACGAGCAAGTCCCATCAAGTATCCTTGATGGCCCGGGGCTTCTTCTGCTGTGACAAGGCAAGGCTGAAGCAGACACCCTGTGAGTTCAGGTCCCTTCCAGGACTGGGATCAGTGAGGCCTCGTGTTGTTTCAGTCTGTGGCCATGGAGAGATGGAGATAAAAGCTTGAATCTGAGACACAGCACAGGGGTCAAGTTGAGAGGGTGGGTGGGATACGGGCAGGGAAAGAGGATGCAGCCTGAGACGCCAGGAGAAATGCGGCGCCCCCTCCTGGGATGGGCAGAGGGCAGGAGGAGCAGCTGGGTGGTGGCGGTGGTGGTGGGGCAGAGAAGGGACGTTTCGGCCATGTTAAATCCAAGATGCCAATTCGACACGCAACCCCTTACTCCACTCAGTAAGGAGTTGGGTCAATCTGGAGCTGACGAGAGAGTCCAAGGTTGGATGTGCAAAGTAGGGGTCAATGCAGTATAAATAAGCATTGTCCAAAACCATGGGGCCGAGTAAGATCACACAGGGAGTGAGTTTAGATAGAGAAGACAGCAGGGTCCAGGATGGAGCTGGGGACCCTCCGGTGTTGAGGTGCTGAGCCGAGGAGGGTGATGGAGCCAATAATGAATAAGGGGCATTGCAGGGTGCAGAGTGCAGAGGGAGGGAAGGGTATGTGTGGACAAAACAACAAGGGGGGGTGGGTGGGATGGTCAAGTGCGCACTTGGCTTGAACTCAGCAGGTCTTGTGTTAACTTGGAGGGAGGTAAATGGTTTGGAAGCCACACTGAGGATCAAGGAAGCATCACCTGCCTCTATTGGTCCTCAGGTTTGGGGGGGTGGGAGAGAGAGGGCTGTCTCCGCTTGCTGGGACCCAGGGGAAGAAGAGTCCTTCAGGGAGAACCAAGGTTCATAGGGTCAGGGTTAGGGGCAGTGTTGATGAAATGAAGTCCCAGCTGACAACAGATGAAATGTAACGAGTCCTGGAGTGATGAGGCTTTATCTACGCAGTCCCGATACCAACCCTGTGGAGTGTATATCACTATTTCCATCTCACAGACCACAGAAAGGAGGCTCAGAGAGGCTATGTGACTTGCCCAAGGCCACCCAGCCATGGACGGCAGCACGAAGACTCAAACCCTGGTCCGTCTGACTGAGGTCTTAAAACCTACACATATTTACTGCGCCAATATATTAAAAGACCCGTGTAGCACAATCTGTCCCCTGAAAACGATATAGTTGAAGGAAATCATGTTCACCTGTATCTAAAAACAAAGAAAAACAACTGACGGATGGGACACCCACCTATGTAGTTCATGATAAATCCCTGGCCCTTCCCGAAGATGAGGCCGGCCGGGTCGGAGTGGAACTGGATGGTGAGGTCCGGCGTGGACGAGTACAGCTTCTGGGGGCCGCTGCTCCCAAGGTACTGGCCCAGGATGTGGGGCATGACCTCGTCCCCGTCGTAGATGGTCAGGATGTCGCTGTTGCTCAGGTTCAGGCTTGAGGGCAGAGAGAGGAGGGGCGCGTGGGGAAGCAGCGTTAGGGATGTTCAACCAGCCTTTGCTTTATTTTTTCAGGCAACACACACTTTTTTTTTTTTTGAGACATACTATGTGTCAGGTCCCAGGCCAGGGCCTGGGGTTGAGGCAGGCACGGGCTCCAGATGTGATGGGGAGCGGCCATCCTTCCTGCAAGCCTGGCGCACAGATGGGTGGGTGGGTCAGGCTTTCGAAGGCTCATTATTCACGAAATGGCCCTCCTGGGCAGGGTCAAATGCTGTGCAATAAGTAGAATTGCCTTCAATACCCCTGTCATCAACCCCCCCTTTCAGGAGCGAGACTAAGTGTTGGGCGCTGGGCTATGTACAGGGGGCGTGGCCTGGGTCTTTCATTTTCCTTTGATGCCCAACCAGTGGGCTGCATGCTAATTATCATTTGCATTTTTCTGTAAGGTGACGCTTCCATTTATCCTGTGGGTCATTCCTCAGCATCACCCTGGTTCTCTGCTCTGTTGTGGGGATAGGCAATGGGCTGCTCCAGCCTGCCATCACTCTTCCCAGCAGTCAAGGATGACAACGCTTCAAAGACTCAGGCTCTAGAAGGCACACTGCCACTAGGTATCGGGACTGCAAGGGACAGGTGATAACCCAGAAAGCACTCCGGCAGGCCACAGACCTGTGTGCCCTGTTAGGCATCTGGGTAAACTTGACCTCTGAGAGGAAGGCTCGCGTCAGTCATAGACAGATATTAACGCCTGCCTCACTCCCTCCTTGTTCCCCTCTCTCTTCCTTCCCTTTCTCACTTATGTCTTTCTTCTTTTCTTGTGTCCTTCTCCCTAATATTTCTGAGCACCTACTATGTGCCAGGCACTGTGCTGTGTTCAGAAGGCCAAGGAGTCATAGAGCAGTGATATATTTAGACTAGTAAGCCGGGGATGGTGGGAGGAGTTCTAATCAGAGTACGTGCAGCAGAGGGTGTTAATTCAGATTGGGGGCATCATGGAGGCCTCCCTGGAAGAGGTGACACTTGTGTCTGATCCTTAAGAAAGAGAACAATGAGGCAGATAAACAGAGGGTGTGGAGAAAGCAAAGCCCCAGGCAGAGGGAGGAAGGGGGCAAGGTCCTGGCTCCTGAGGGATCTTGCCTCAGGAGCCAGCATGTGTGGGAACCTGGAGAGACCTGTGGCAGGCCCACCATGAAGGGCTTAGGGAGAGAAGGATGGGCGTCTGCATGTCATCATGCTGGGAATGGCAGACAGCAACGGATTTTCATTAGGAGTCTCCTGACTGAGCAATTCACCCCTGGAGGAGCGAGGCGGGCTGGGAAATAGCCCCGAGTGAAATTTCTGGAACTGATGCAAACTGACAACAGCCCTCCCCCGGCTGACAGCTTCATCCAACCTGGGTGCTGATTGCTGCCGCCCGGGAGTGGGGAGAAGGGCGGGCACCGCCCACGCTGGTGCGTCAATTAGTCAGAACAAAACGACAGAAACAAGAGGTACCAGCTGAAGGGCAGAGGGTGCATTGGATTCACCCCCATATCTCCCACAGCCCCTCCTGCAATTCCTCGGGGAAAGCTGTCCCTAGGGCTGGCATAGCGAGGCTCCAATTGCCCCTCTAATCTCCAGCAGCATCCCCTGCCCTACTTGAAAGACACCCTCTCCTGGAAAAGCTGGCTGCTTGCTTTGCACACTCGCACACTGCCAGACAGAGCCCCTCGACTCCTCCCTCCCCCTCCCCAACTGGCCCCTTTCTGGTCAGGCTGCAGCCTCTAAACTCCTATCAGACTGGAGTTGCCACCTTCTCTTGCACACAGTCGGTGTTCGATAAATGCTATGGTATAAAGAACATGCTGGGGTGTCTGCCTGAAAGCAGAACAGTGGGGCTGATGTCAGCGCCTGACCTGTGGTAGCTAAGAGCCTGTGGACACAGAGAACCATGAAAACACCGATCGCTCGTGGGACTTCTGGGCGAGGCCAGTGTGTGTGTGGCAGAGGCAGGTATTTATTCCTTATGCCGACCTCGCAGCCGACCTGCTAGTAATGTGGGCTCCGGACACGGGGCGGCTTGGCTTTATTCTGTCACTCAGCGCAGTGACTGGATTAAAGTAGCAGCAACGTCACACGCAGTTAGACGGAAGGAGCCGGGTAGAGATGGTAGGCTGGCTGCAGAAGGTCACCCAGGCAGGCAAGCCCTGGGTGCGAAGCAACGGACAATTGTAGGAGGGGCCTTGCTACCAGGGCGACCTCTCCTCCCCTAGCATATCCCATGGTCACGCGGTTTAGACCCCCTGACCTTTCATATCGCTGGCCTGGTGGTTTGGCCCCTGTCCGGGCCTTTCACCACTGGCATGTGGCTAGTCAGGCAGTAGACCCCCTTGGAGGGGAACAAAGGGGCTGAAAAAAAGTCTCAGTCGACTCCCACGTGGGCCCTGGAATGACCACTGTCTTAAGCATTAAGACAGGATGATGAGGTTCTGACCCCCATCAAGTAATCGCAGGATCAAAGTGTTGGGTCTGCTGTCCACAGAGTGAGAGTTTCGGTCAAAGTGGAGGTAACATCGAGGCCTCAGTTGTGTTCAGCACCAGGTCCAGAAAAGCAGCAAAACCAGACGGAGCAACACCGTGGCTGCCATCAGCACCAGCTGTGATGGCTGACTCCCCGCCCTGGGGCCAACTGATCGGTAGAGACCATGACCCCGAAAGGACACACCTGGAAAGCTGAGCTCCCGCCCTGAGACCTCCAGATAAAACCCCTCAAAACAAAGAATTCTCTCTCTCTCCATCTCTTCCCCTCTCTCCTCAGTGCCTTTCTGCCTCTCCTTCCCTGAGGTGTGCTTCCTTTGTCTTTCTTCCTCCAAAGCTTCACGGGTCCTTCTTTTTTTTGCCTCTGTAACTTGCTCCCTGAGCCCACCCAGCCCAGCTGGCTTCCTTCTCCTACCCCTGGGACTTTCTAAATAAACTTTTGCTTGGATTTAAGTCTCGACTCTGAATTCTTTCTTAGCCAAAACTCAAGGACTGAGTTCTAACAGCTAGTGCTGTTCGCCCATAACAGAAACATCTTCAAGAGTGAAAATAACTTTCCTTCTAAACCCCGAAACAGCTCTTTGTTCTTTGCAAAATGGGAAGGAACAGCGGGCTGGGAAGGGCACACTGCCCTGGAAATCAGAACGTTTTGGCTTGATTCTTGGCTCTTACCCTTTCGGGAAGGATATGTGGTTTATCGAAAGCTCATTGTCTGTGAATCGAGCTTAATATTTCCAGTCAATGGCAGGGGCTTCTGGAGTGAGGTAAGGCCTACAGAAGGTTTGGGATCAAATCCCAGGTCCGCCGCAGCACCTGAGCAAGTTTCGTCAAGTCATTTGAATGTTATGTCATGTTGCGTTGTTATTGTGGGCACCACCACCGCCATCCTCATCCTCACTATCACCATCATCATCATCGCCACCATCATCGCCACCATCGTTATCATGATCATCATCTACTCTTTGGATTGCTGTTTACATCAGATGACATCAGGTGACTTATGTTCTCAACTAGGGGTGGTTTCGCCCCCCAGGAGACATTTGACAACATCTGGAGACGTGGCTGTCCCACCTAGGGGGCTGCCACAGGTGACTGCTGCTAAAAATCCTACAGCACACAAGATAAGCCTTGTCCAACGAATTTCTAAGGTTGAGAAAGCCTGACTTACGCGGATGCATTTCGTTCACAGTAAACACCAGACTATTAAATGCAACTTCTATTGCCCTGGAATTTCAGCCAATGTCACCTGAGCAAAGAACAAGCCAACAGGTCCTGAGCTCTTCCGCTCTTCAAAGGGGTATTTGTGACTGTCAATTGAGATTGGGTTCTCCAGGAGCAAAGCCTGACAAAGCACGTGACTCTTCCTTGGAGTTAGGTGACTGGGAGGCCACTGCAGGCAGCACTGCAGGGGGAGGGACCCAGGAGGAAGGGAAGGAGCCCACGCACGGTGCATCGGTGGGTGAGTTCGCTGTGAGCACTAAGCTCCGTCCTGCAGTAACTGTGAGAGATGGAGCAGAACGTACCTCAGGGGAGAGGGGGCCGGGGCATTTACCCTCTAACTGCCCCCTCTCATTGGCTGAGGGCCGCTGAATCTCCAGCACTTCCAGCCTGCCCATACAGAATCGGGGAAAACCTTCAGGTGGACTTTCGGTCGGAAGTCATCATGGTACAGAGTGAAGGTACCACGGGGCTCAGTTAGGGCACCAGCATCTAGGCTTTGGAAAACAGTGGCCGCCTTTGACACTGGCCAAGCCAAGCGCAGTGGTAAAAATCAGCCTGGAGCTGCCTCCTGCTCAGGGGCAGATCAGAGAGAGGGAGGCAGGTGTTGGGAGTGAGCAGCCCTTCATGGAGGAGGGCGGGGATAAGATTCACGGTGCCAGGGTCTCAGATGTGGGCCCTGCAGAAGGCAGCCTCTGGGAGTGTCCTTGAAAGTGTTCCCCTCCCAAAAGGGTGATGGAGACCAGCTGAGGGGAAAGTCAAGGGCAGCGGGGCTCAGAGGCTTTGCTCACGTCAAGTACCCCTTAAGAAGGAAAAACAAAAACAGCACTCTGTAGCCTCCCACGACGTAGGCTTTCCCGCGAGAAAGCGGCAGCCCCTCAGGCCCTTCCTCACTGCAGAATTCCCGGCCTGGGGAGCCCTCCCAGGGGAGGGGGGAAATTGGGTTCATAGCAAATGCCAGTGATTCACAGCCCCCGCCCCCCCCCAATCTGAAGACAAGCTTGTGCTCTCACTTGCCCATCCAGCTGTATTTGATAGCACCGAGTGCATCCACTGGGAGGAAAATGCAGAGTCGTAAAATGCAGACAGATTGGCCCCAGGGAAGAGTGAGGCTCGAAGTGAGATGTCAGCCAGATACAATCTGAGGAGGCACTGGGACATCAGGGCAGCGGTTTGACTCCAGAAGGAAGTGCCGATGGCCGGGTGCTGGCAGGCGAGTGGGTTTGACCTGGGAAAACTCCCCAGGAAGACGGAGCCCT